TTTGTCAAAGATCTTCTAAAATACTTTCTTCTTTGTTTCAACTCCATCATCTGACACACACAACAGAAATACTCTTGCTCCTTAGAACAGAGCTTATATCTATGCATCTATCTACACATACTTGGAAGGTGAATGTATAGCAATTTAGATTTCAAGTAAGAATAAATCTTGAATTATACAAAGTGGGATTATCTAATTCCCATTTCATTTCTATCCCTCTGGTTAAGCAGATTAATTTTCAAAGTAAAGGCTGGCATTGTAGCACAGTGGATAAAGCCACTGCCTCCAGTGCTAGCCATATGGGCAAGTGGCTGCATTGCTTCTGCTCCAGCTCCCTGACACTGGCCTGGGAAAAGCAGTGGAAGCTGGCCTAAGTGCCTGGGTTCCTGCTAAGCATGTGGGAAACACTGGAAGAAGCTGTTGGCCTCTGGCTTTGGCCTGGCCCAGTCCCAGCCTGGGGAATGAACCAACAGACGGAACAGCTCTCTGTATAACTCTTTAAAAAAATTAAATAAAACTTTAAAAAAAAAAATGGAGGAAGGGAACTAACACTGCAAAGATGCAAAAATAAGCTCTGCATGGACGCTTGGTTGCTCTAAGGAACCAGAGTTTAGGGATCAGAGCCTTTGGTTCTGAGAATCTGCTGATGGGCCTATTCAGCCAGTGGAAGACTCCCTTCTGACTAGGGTGGGTGGTATCACAGCAGCCCCCCAAGGGTCTTTCCATGGATTGTTTTTCATCTTTACAACTATTAAAAGTAAGTATTTTACCAATGAGAAAATAGACTTGGAAGGTTAAAAAACTTGCCCAGGCTTACCTATTTTGTAGGTACAACTGGGATTTGAACTTAGAATTGTGTGATGCAAAACAAACAAACAAAATCAAAAAAACAAACGAAAAAGCCAAAAAAACAAAGCCCATATTTCTACTATGTCAAGCTGCCTCCCAGAGTGCCAACTACTTGTTATGAAAAGCATTCATCTTATAAAGGCATAAGGTTCAGTGGATTCTAGCATGTGTACATGGACTTAGTGCATTTGCTCTTCTTGATCATTTGGTAGTGATTTTGCTGGTAAGAGTTCTGAAGTGGTAATTAGATGGTTTCTGAACTGTGGGGGAAAGCTCAATCATAGGAGCCAGTCCGGCTGAGCTGGAGCGGCTTTTCCCTGCTCTGGCCGACAGCTGACAGAACAGAGCCCCGGTGGAACTGTGCAGACAGGCACTTGACAAAAAAAAAAAAGTCTTTCCTATGGCACCGCTTCAGGAATGCTCTGAGCTGGATGCAAACAGATTGAAGCCGACCCCACCCGAGGAGATTAATGGGCTGATACTCTCCCGGCTGTTTCCATTTATTAGCTTACAGAGATAAGGACATGCTGATAACTGCTGATGCTCCGAAGCACGGAGGAATGGCTGATGTGTGAGCTGGGTCTCGATCCAAGGTCATTTCAACAGATTGGAATGATGAGCACATCCTACCGGGAGAAGATTTAACGTGGCTCAGAGGGAAGGCCTTTCCCACCATCCAGGGTGCTCAAACCCGAGCAGGGCCACGCAGGGCGCCACCACCTCCGGGGAGGACTCAGAGGAACCGGCTGTTCATGTGCTGAGGGGGCTCAGGGGTCTGACCACGCTAGCATGCAGGTCTGGGTGAGGAAGCTCCTGGTTCTTTCCTCCTGGGAGCTATTCCTGCTCCTCGGGGATGGGGACAACAGAAAGTGTGCCAGAGGGAGCTTCTGGTCGCGTGACAGTTACCGAGACTCTGGTCTCCAATCACGAGATCCCTAGCTGAGGAAACTGGAAAGGTTAAACCTGATGACTGTCTCTCCACTTGGCAACAGCTGATGTGGAAAAGGCACTTGGTATAGCAGAGGCTGGTGGGGACAACTAGGAGAGGTCCCAGGGGACTGATGTCAGCTGCGAGAATGGAAGAACTTCCTAACGAGCCACAGGAACGGGAAAGGAGCTCGTTGCGTTCTCAATCTCGCTACTCCCTCTCAGAGACTGTGGGACAGTGGGGGGATTCTAACATTCAGTGGTCATGTGCCGCATGGCTTCCAAGAACCAGAGATTGCATAATATTCTGAAAGTAAACTTTTATTTACGTAAAGTGTGGAGCTATGGTTAAAAAAAAATGTGGTGAGTGTGAACAGGAACAAAAAGCACCCACGTTATAAAGTCAGCACTCATGTGTTTGGTGACTTCAGGCATGTTTCCTAAAACTGAGGTCTTGGGTTCACTTATCTGGCCTGATTCTCAGGTTATCAGAGCATCAGGAAATTCAGTTCTTTGGCTCACATTTTAGAGCCTATGACTTTGCGGGTCTGGGCAAACTGCAATTAAACAAAGTAAGTCTCTTGTTGCTTCAGATGCACAGGCAGTTCTGGGAGCCACTGAAACTGTATAGACATATGGGTACACTACACTTTATGAGACACACCTGTGTATGGAATGGTTGCAAAAAAACCTCGGTAACTGCAACCAGCCTGTTAATATGTAAGGCCACCTCAGTTTAATGTTTAAGCACCTTTTCTATGAAGCAGCAAACTTGACCTCATCATGCCAGGATGTAAGAGCTGAGCACATAAAAATTAAAAATACCATATCTCTTGTTTTATAACTATAATCGTGTGAATAGTTTTTCCATCTTTCTGTCTTGGCTAACATGTTTAAAATTAATGTCATATCGCTTTTAGGGGGGGGTTTGAAATAGAGGAGAAATAAACAGACTTAAGAATAAATGTTGAGATTTTACTTGTTTTAGGCGAGCAAATGAACTGAGCAGCCTCAGTCTGGATGTTTAGAGTAACTACTGAACAGCAAATCCGGAAACATCTTTCCTGCTATCTTCATCCCGCTGGACGAGTGCAGGGCGCCAGCTAAGGGCACACGTGAAAGGGACGTTTGCATGGATCCTTGTCAGATAGGTTCCAGGCTGGAAAACTTAGAGGAGCACAGACAGTAGCATGGCAGCTGGTGGGTGGGGAGCCAGCAAGGCGGGAGTAAGAAGATACAAAAACCAGGTAGCTTCGCCCCCAGGAAGGACGAAGCGGAGGCAGCCAGCTGAATGCTAAGGGAGAAACATCTAAGCAGAGGCCGACTCTGTCAAACGCAGCTAACCAAGTTACGTTTCAGGACTCCTTAATATTTTCCTCACTCTCCACCTGGGTAGGCAAAGTCTCAGAAATGTATGAACGTGACCTGCTCTGCTAAGGTTAATTAAGAGCTGACTACTAGTATTAAAGACCAGGGTTGGGGGATTAAATACAGCAATACTGATTTCATTATGATGACACATAGAAACATAAATGTTTCCTTAATCTTTCATGTTCAACTTGAGAAGCTTTATATTTTTATGAAGCTAGTAAATAAAAAAAATCTTCAAAAAACTTTTAATACTTGGCTAATCAAATCAAGACTAACTGGTTGATTGATTAAGCCAAGAGGGTTGAGTATAATGTGACAGGAATGGCATTAGGAAAGTATTGATTAAAGTCTGATTCATTCCCTATATAAAAACAAAGATTTTTTTAAAGATTGGCATTCATTTCAGAAGGTGTGGTACAAGAAGGAGCTTTCTTCTCAGAGGCATTTGGTAAGAGGGCCTAAGGGCAGGGCACAGCTGGTTAAACTGCTGCCTGGTACACCAGCATCCTATATGAGCGCAGGTTCAAGTTTAGTCACTAACACAGGAGACCAGGATGGAGCTCCAAGCTTCAGGCTTCGACCTGGTCCGTACACATCACTACAGTGATTCGGAGAGTGAACCAGGGAATGAAAGATTTCTCTCTCTTCCTCTCTGTAATTCTGCCTTTCAAATAAACAAATAAATGAATAAATAAATAAATAAATAAGAATGTCTTAGGGATCATAAATATGCTTCACATCTGCTCTACAAGGTTTTGGTTGCAGCATGGACAAAACCTACCATCCAAAGCACTCTCCTACAGCAGAAGACAAACCCACTGTCTATGGATTTCCAAGCTTGGATGCATATGGTTTCTATAGCCAGCTTTTAGCCAAAATGTTCCTCCGCTACACCGACAGAGAATGTAGGAGTAAATTGAAAAAGAGAAGACAGACATAAGTGTGACTGTTTCCAGCAGAGCAAGAACCAAGCAGTTGCTTTAGAGCTGAAAGAAATATTCAGTTAGGTTAAAGGCTCTGATATGGCATATCCAAATCCCCAAGCAGGGGACTTTCAAGCATCCACTCTCTCCACCTTAACTCACACAACTTCCACTGCCTGGGATGTGCATTTCCTCCAAATATGTGTCAATAAAAACAATGCTGGGGGGCATGGTGGGCAATGCTACCACTTGCAATGCCAGTATCCCATAACCAGCTGCTGCACCTCCAATCCTGCTCCCTGCTACGGTGCCTGAGAAAGCAAGACAGGATGGTTCAAGTACCAGGGCCCCTATCACCATTAGGAGACCAGCAGGAAGTTCCTGGTTTCTGGCTCCTGCAGTCCTGGCCATTTCAGCCAGTTGGGGAGGGAAGCAACAGATGTGCAACCTCTGTTTGAGCGTGTTTCTCTCTCTGCCACTCTGTAACTCTGTCTTCCAAATAAATAAAATAAATCTTAAAAAAAATCTTAGGTGATTTTATTTGCAATCCTCACAGTTAAAATATCTTAGGCAGATCTTATGTTTACTTATCTAATAGTGCAACTCGACAGTTATGACATCTGATGTAAAAATCCATTAACCCTGGTTTCTTTGTGTCTGGCAGAGGGCCACATGCATTTAACAACGAAAACGATCACAGCTGACAATGAACCTCACAACCAAATAGAGCAGGTATTGAAGGAATGCTTGTCAGAGAACAGAGAGAACTTGCCCAAATTCTAAAAAGGAATTGGAAGCAAGTAAAAAGACAACTTCTAATGTACAAGTCTTTTGGTGCACCCACAGGTCCTCTAACTTTAAATATGATTTTGTTTTCAGGTCAAACACTTTCGACCTGTGCAATGTTTCAGAAGGAAGCAGTTTACTTACAGACGCACAACACTATGAGAAACAGGAGGTACGTGACCAGTTCCCGCAGAACACTTTTAAGGTATTTTTCTCGATTAGTGCTGTTTTCCTCCATGAGTCTTGTTCCCCAGAGACCTTTAAAATAATGAGAAAAGCCATTCAATTTAAGAAATATCATAAATGTTAAAACGGGGAAAAAATAAACAGTATAATCTGTATGGGAGATTCTCTCCTATGTACATTTAGCACACTGGATGTAACTGGGAATACAGCACAGCAAGAACACTCATTGCTTCACCATCTTCCCCCCAGGATGTGCAATGATCTGATTCTTCTCTCAATTCCCAGGACCACTGGTAGATATTTGAGTACAATTTTTCAAAACAGAACAGGAAATGACTTAAACTAAGATTGAACAGCTGTGCAATGTGCACAGTTCTTCCTGTTTGGCTCTAGAGGGCCCCTCCTGGGATCCTCCCGCTAAACCCATCAGAGTCATTGCACATCACTATCTTTTACATCATCCTAGATTCAAGGAAGCTTTGGCTGGATCAACTCCACAGGAAAGCAGTTCCTCGAGCATCTAACTCCTGGTTCTCTGCTTGTCTTTGTCCTTTAACACACTCTATAGTGACCGACCACACTGCACATGCTTAGTTGAGCAAATTCTTTTCAAACGCCAATTAACATGTTGACATTAGGAGCAACAACTCAACCAGCATCTCCCTCCCTCTCTGGAGAAAGACTAAAATCTGCAACCATGTTCTCTATTTTAGCAGATGGAAAAAGAGTTGGGCTGGCTCAGTGTGGATGACATAACACTCGGCAAGCTGGCTGCAGCATGCCTGCAGTTTTGGATAGCGCTGGCAGACAGACATGGTGGCTGTCCAAACCCATTAATGAATAGTGTGGTCAAGTCACATTGCGGCTTGCTTGGAAGAACCTAAGCCTTTTCCAAAAAAAGACAAACTTCTCAGTGCTCTCAGATTAGGTCGACTGCTAACGGAACCCAACCTGGCCCCCTGCACTATGTCTGGCACTGCTATCCCACACATCTTAACTCCTTCAATCACGGAAACTCAGCACTTAAGCCACAAGCAAACCACACTGAGAAGAGGGAAAAATAGCAGTTGGCCTTTCCTATCAGAGAAATGACTTCATACTACTGCTTGTGTATTTTTTTTAACTTTTATAATAATATATTAGTTCTACCCCTCCTAAATTTCAGGTTTTTCATTTCCTTTTCTTCCCAAAGTTCCTTTGGGAAAATCTGTATCTGAATTCAAAGACACTGGATTACGCATCCTAAATTTCAGCACACGGAAAAGTGGAGGCTAACTTATGACCAGGTTTGCATCTGCCAAGATCTGGTAGTTGTCAGGGAAATTACTCACTCAGAAGAAATGCAGCAAGCAGAATGTGTGTTCGTTAAGACTCTATCATATTAAGGAATTATTACAAATGTAGATGACATGGAAAATTACAACTCAGAAGGTCGCAGAGGCAGCCAAGTGTTAGGCTCAGTAGCCCTGGAACAGCCTCCCTACCGATTCTTAGGGTAGATTTCTTTTGGAATCAGGCCTAAAATAGACATGGAAATACAGAAGGCTAGACTCTGGCATCCCCAAAGACGGCTGCCCTGCCCCATTTGGTCAGTGACTTCATTCTTTCCCATAGTTTACAGACAGCTATGCACTAAAGAAATAGCATGGCTCTTAATATTTACAAATGGACTCGTGGGCCAGTGCATAGAAAAAAAAAAAAAAACTCCAATCAAGTTTTATTCAAGTGAAATTTGCAGTAATAGTTTAGTAGTGCAATATTATCCCAGGTTTTGAGATAAAATAAAGAAACAAGACCCCTTGCTTATATTCTTGTGTGAGATACTTTCATGTGTTTTAAACTTAAATATTGACCGCTTTCATTTTCATCCCATTTTCCCACTGGCTGTGTATGTCTTAGGATATGGGACCTGTTTACTTTCAGATGAGTGAGAAATGGCTACATCTACAAACAGGAGAAAGTTACTTCCTGGTTGGGATGAGCTGACAGGACAGAGTTGATAGTTAAAAGGTGGCGTTTATGTTCAAAAGGCTGGCATTCCTGGCATTTTTCCCGATGGTAACCCTGACTGCTAAGTACCTTCCCTGCATTCAGTGCACAGTTTGCCTCCAGGTGTCAGGGAGACAGTAGAAGCACAGGGAAACTGAACAATTTTTCCAACTAGTTTCAAGAGGGTGCTTTGCTAATGCCCTCTGACCAGCCAGAGCACATCACCTCCACGGCTGTGATCCTGTGCATAATATTACATCTGCATGCAAGCACAGGGGCCCTGCAACATGGACTGCAAAACACTAAAGATGTGCCAAACACACAGGTGACTTTGGAAAAAAGAAAAACAAAGGTTACCTCGCCAACAATTTTTTCCTAATTTTTTCAAAACCTTTTTTTTTTTACTTTGGAAAAACATCCAAGAGACAGATATAACACATTCTTATTATTTATTATTTAGCCCAACAATGATCAGCTTAGCACAGTGATTCATCTAAACCCACACACGTAATCCCTCAATCATTTGGAAAGCAATCCCAGCTGCAGTGTTATTTAATCCGTCAATAGTCCACTTCCACGGTCGAAAGGTGTTCGGCATGGGGTGTCTGTCTCGCACTAACCCTGTCTTGTCCGGAACAAACCAAGCGCTGGTGACTTACGACTCATGACGCAGTGCAGGAGCCAAACTGGGTTCAACTGAGGGCTCAGCCTCCTCCGAGCTCTGAGCCTTGCCCAAGGGCACAACCCCAGTTTGAAAGTGGAGCAAGAGTGCCTCTCTGTGGAACTGCCTGGGAATTAGCAATGGAACGTGTCAAACATTTCAGGGTTCTTGGAAGAGGTCTGTCTGCAACTTCGGAAACAAATACCAATCGGTAAAATGTCAGACTTATGACCCCTGGCTGGTCCAGACTTCGGAATGGTGTAAAGACCCATATCCGAATGGACTTTGAGTTCATGGTGAAGAGTGCGACCAAATGCTCAGGGTCTTAGCTGACGACACAAATCTCTGAGACACTGGACTTCGTTTGTTTGTTTTTAGAAAGAATAGGGTTCCTTGTCAAAATGCATCAGAATTAGAGAAGCGACGTGAATTGGTCCGTCTTCAGTAGTATAATTAGCTGCTACCTTCTGTTACTGACTTCCAAGTCCTGAATTTTTAGCCCTCTCTTGAGTTCCAAACGCGCATGGAAGGGGCCTTCAAAAAGTTAATGGAAAAAGCGAGTTAAAAGGTGACTTTGATGCCTGATGATATTTGAACTTCTCCTGTATTGAGCCACAGTAACACCCCTTGTGTACACGACAGCTAACAGGGCATACTCCACTGACTGCTCACACTCACCAGCTCCCAAAGAACATTCATTCTTCTCTTTCTTTCTTTTTTAAGGTTTATTTTTTAAAATTTTTTTATTGGAAAGTCAAGTTTACATAGAGGAGGAGAGACAGAGAGGAAGATTTTCCACCTGTTGATTTACTCCCCAAGCGGCTACAACAACCAGAGCTGTGTCTATAGAGCCTCTTCTGGGTCCCCCACGTGAGTGCAGGATCCCAAACAAAGCTTTGGGCCGTCCTCCACTGCTTTCCCAGGCCACAAGCAGGGAGCTGGATGGCAAGTGGAGCTGCCGGGATTAGAATGGCACCCATATGGAATCCCAGTTGAGGACTTTAGCTGCTGGGCTATTGCATAGGGCCCACATTCTTCCTTTTCTTTCTCAAGAAACCTTTCTCCCTGTTTGGGTCAATGCTATCAAATCGGAAATGTGGACTGCAGTTAGGGCAGAGCCCTTCTCTTTTCCTGCAGATGGACTTGGTTCACAATTCTTCTAGTTCCCCGCCAGTTGTCACACACCTGGACATAGTCCTTGTCATCCACCCATGCTCAGCCTGCAGTCACAGACAGCAGATCCTTTCAGCCCCCCGCCCGAGGCCACCTCTGCCTCCAAACACCCATGTCAGCACTGACCACGTGCCAACTGCCTGGTCTTGTTGCTTCTTCCTTTTTGAATTTCCACTTATTCTTGAAGATACAGTGTGAGTTTCACTCCCACCACAAGACTTCTCCGATCTCCCCAGGTAAAGCTGACCTGTCTCCTTTGCTCCCTGGCCAGTCATTTGCATGCAGTTACTAAGGTCTCTGCTACCCAAGGTAAACTGTTAGCTCCTGGGATGTGCAAAGCTTATGCTATTCTCTTGTGTACCCGTGAAGCCTCAGGGCACCACACACGGGGACTGTCACAACGTGCCCCCCGCCTGCATTAACTCTATCACTAGCCTCACCCTCTCAAACACTCCGGGGGCAGAAAAATGCCTCAAAAAATTCCTGCCGTCATGAACATATTTAATCTTCTTTGCTCAAAATTACAGTGCAAATTTACAGAAAAGAAAAGGATGAAGGGATGGGTAAAGTTTAGGTGAAACATACAGGCAAAGGTCAAAGAAGCGGGGCAACCTCCAAGTACCCCACAACAAGTGAATGGAAAACTGGAACATGACGCATCCATTTGTGTACATACAGCTGAACATACTTGCATCAGATAAAGGAATGCAGGCATTCAGATGCACGCTACAACCTGGATGTGCCTCATGCTATTCAGGATGAACCCCAAACACATTTGGATTTGGATCCATACATTATTCTGAAGTTTGAGCTGAGGGTCCAGACTACCAGGTTAATTGTGTGACTTCACTTACATCAGGTATGCGGGGCTGGAGGGAGAGCAGCTGTCCCGTGCCTGGCAAGACACTTTTCAGCAGCACCTTTAATCTAATTCAGGGATGACGGCGGTCAGTCACACCCCTTCCCCTGCCACCAGCTGGGAAAATAAAATCTGTCACCAGTATTTACCTGTTCATTACTGTGGCAGTTCTCCTGGGGGAGAACTTCCCCTTGCTCCAGTCTACCAAATGTTTCAAGGTGCAAACCTGTCCTCCATCCCACTGAAAACCTGTGGTTTGGAAAGATGCTCTGCTGAGGATAAAACGGGACTGCATTCTGAGGCTCACACAGGTTCATCAGGCACCACATAGGCGCTGCAACTCAAGAGCGGTGAATTGGACGTTGGCAGTTGCTGAGCGGTGCCCTCACCTACCACCAAGTTCAGCTGTTCATCTGAGTCTCAACAACCCTTCCAAGAACCAAATATGCTCCCCTTCACACAGCCAAAAGCAGGACACTGTGGCAAAATGAGCAGTGGCTAAGCGTGGGTTCAAGGCCACTCACAAGCACACCCATTTCAACGTCAAAGTTTGATTCTTTCAGGAGAAACAAGAGGAGACCTCCTATGTCATGAGGGCCCTGGCACCAATGAGACAATTCCTAACTCTTTACCAACATCAAGTTCTCCCCTCTAGGACTTGTGCCTGCCTTCTAGTCCCAAGCTGACCCTGAAGATCCCCGTGGTCCGATTAAGAGCTTTGCCAACAGAACCTGAGTGCAGGAGATGGTGGGTAGATCCAAGAAGAGGGCTTTGGATCAACAGCAGTGGGGAGCCTTCCGTGCTGCCTTGGCCATGTGGATCACACCAGCATTCCTGGGAGACCCACAAGAGGGAAGGAGTGTTGGTGTTGGAATAATCACATGGAGGAGAGCCTCCAATTTGGAGCAGCCATCTCGGAATGATGCATGAGCAGGGGCACTGAACGGGAAGCAAGGCGGCTGTGGCAGCAGCTTAGTCTACCCTGACCAGTGAAGCTAATCACATTGTGATTTCTCCAGAACAAAAAAGCAAAGTCACAAAAAGGCTAAGAATATACTCATATATCTAAAGGAACAAATAGGAACTGACTTCAGCAAGCTGATACATCAGAAAAGCCGCTAACTCTAGTAGAAGCCTGCATTTCATCTTCACCTAAAATGCACTTGTTAAGAGTGAATATGATTGCTGGAACCACCTGGAAGCCATCCTTGCTTCCCCTGGTCCAGGCATTCATCATTCTTTCCTTGGCTGTCTCCCACCTGGTCTTCTGCCTCATGCACTCCTCTGCAAATTGTCCCACACACCAACCACACTGCTCACTCGCAGCTTCGTTCAGCACACTCTGAACCTTCTCCAAAGCTTTCTTAATGCTCTGGTTAGAGATGAAGCATCTCACAGATGGGCATTTTTCTTTCTTTACTATCTCCCTTTTGCTAAGCATACACATGATCTATTGTCGAAGTGGCAAAAACTGCTGTTTGTCATCCATCTTGGATTCACATCATCAAACCATTGTTTGGCACAGCAGTTACGCTGCCAGTCAGCACTCCTGAATCTCATATTAAAGGACCTGTAGACCAGTCCTAGCTGGGCTTCCGATTCCAGCTCCATGCTAGTGTAAGCTCCAGGAGGAAGCAGGTGATGGCTCAAGTACTTTCCTGCCACCCTGTGCCAGAGTGTGACCGAGTTCCTGGTTCTTGGCTTCAGCCTGGATCAGCCTCGGCTGTTTGCTGGCACTTGGGGTTGGGGAGGAATGAAGCAGCAGACAGATCTCTTTTTCAAAGGAAATAAGTCAATTCAAATTTAAACAACCACCTATGGATAAGAAAACCAGAAAGCACCTAGAGCTGAGGTTCTACTTCTCTGCTTTGGAGTAAACTGTAGGAAGCCACAAAGGCAGGAGATCTCTGGAAAAATTCCAGCTCACTTCCTCTTCTCTTCCCCCTTTAGTTTACAAACGTGACTGACCCAAAGGCACAACTTTCCTGGTGCATGTAAGATTTTTGCCATTGGCATCCCAAGAGGTGAAAAACAAAACAAAACAAAACAAAATAAAACAAAACAAAAAAAACACCTCAGCTTGTTCTCAGTTACTCATTTTACCTCCTGGTTTTGGCTGCAGGAAAATGGTGACATGCTTTCATTTCTTATTGCAGCTGCTAGTCCTGTTCAATCTGTAATAAATATAGCTTATCTGGCAAGTGTCAAGAACATGAGCTGCACCTTCTCTTAAAGCAGTTTAAAGTTTCTTAAAATCCAAAATGTCTCTAGTCTGCTTCTCTTCCAATTACAGACCACTGATATACAGTATGACTAGAGGTTTTAAGACTGAGCTCATCCAATATACCTCTTCTGATCTTTTTTTTTTAAATTTTAATTATATATTTGAAAGACTCGGGCTCTCTACCACTGCTTTCCCAGGTGCATTAGCAGGGAGCTGCATGGGAAGTAGAGCAGCTGGGTCTGGAGCCAGCACCCTTTTAGGATGCTCTGGTGTTACAGGTGGTGGGTTAGCCCTCTGCACCACAAGGTCAGCCTCCCTTGGTATATTTTTTTAAAAGAAATAAGCATGTAGACACATTAATTTCATCGTATTCTATCGAGTCTATCCAAACTAGGCTCAGCGAATTATCAAATGTTTAAACCGAGCTAAAAGGATCATATGACTTACCATTATTTATTAACTCGTAAGAAACTTCTTTGCCTCGTTGAGTATTTTTCAAGAGCAGATTTTAAGTAGTATAGAATCATACAGAAACGTGCTTTAGTACATTTTAAACTTTGAGAAGTGTTAGTGTTTTATGAACATATCCCCACAGGTTATCCAGAAAGGAGTTTCTGGTTCAAATTAACCAGTGTATATTATTCAGCAGTAACTAAATGTACACTTCCTCAGGCTATGGTCTCAACAGTCTTACCTAGAGTAATTCTCCAGTAAGCCCCAAATGTATTAGGATTCTTTTCTTTTTTAATACGTACACAAGGTGAGAACCATGGAGGTCATGTCGCTTGCTCAAGGTCACAGAGTCAGTGGTGGCACAAGGGGGATCTGGTCTTAATGGCAGCGCTGCTGGAGCACCACCTGGACAGTTTCCACTGAGACTGAAAACCCACGGCAAGCCAAGGGCAGAGAAAAGTTCGAAAGAACGGGGAGGCGGGAAGCTCTAAATTAAACAACTGAGATTTCAATAACCAGGAGGGTCAGAGCCAATGCAAGGCTTGTTTTTTTTTTTTCCTCTTCTTTTTTCCAAGGATGCCTCTGACAAAACTGTAAGAACAAGATCCCATCTGCTATTGGAAAATTCAAGTCCTCTTACTCAACACCAGCAAATTTGAAAATGCTTTCCCTGCCATCAGCGGTGGAGCCGGGCCCTGAGTTCTGACACTGGCATCAGCTGGTGTGTAGTGACCTCACCATTCCGATGGCATTTCAAAGACGGTGAATTTAGTTGCTTAGAAGTATACTTCCAAAATGTAACCTTATGCCACTTCAGACAAAAAGTAATTTGTACAGTATTAGAAATCTTTTAAAAGAACTTTTTATTTTATCCTTGGAAGTCTCAACGACCCCTTATTCTCTCCCGACCCTCCCCTCCCCCCGCCCCAAATCTTAACACAGCATCAGAGCCAAACCAAAGGGATTGCCCAGCCCACTAACGGCTTAACACTGCACTGTTAACCTTTTGACGCTAGAATGGGGATGAGGGGCAGTGGAGCCAGGGGCAGAGGACCAGGGGCAGGGCATGGGTGTGGGTCCAGATTTCTCTTTCGTTTTTGCCATAGAAGCAAATATGTGGTTGCAATCACCATCTCATATATATATGTATGTGTATATATATATATTTAACTCATGCATAGGGGAAGCCCATATGTACCCTTCGGCTATAACTGGGCCTTCACTTATTTTTAGCAGTAAAACAGAAAATGCTGACAGCTCCCCCAAGAGAGCGGATCATCAGAGAAGCCCACACCAAGCAGGGCGCACAGGACTCCCCAGACCGGGCACCGGAAACAGCAGAACTAGCCAAGTCGGGGAAGGTGCGGCCAAGGGAGGCGGGGACGCGGCACGGGATGCAAGCGGGAACCCCGACGGCTGCCCGCCTGCCCGCCTGCCCGCCTGCCCGCCTGCCCGCCGCTGCGGGTCGCGCTCTTACCTCGCAGCCCGCGAACCAGCCTTTCGGCCCAGGCCACTCGGGGCGGCTGCCCGTCCAGGGGGTGGTGGCGATGCAGCGGGTCCCCGCCGCCGGCCGGGCTGGGGCACGGCGGGCCCTGGTCTTCTCGCCGGTGCCGCCTGCCGCTCGGGGGTCCCGCGCCGTGGTAGCCCCCTAGTCCCCGGCTGCGGGCTCCCGCCGAGCTCACGGCCGAGGAAGCGGCCGACCTCCGGCTGCCCGGGCGCCACTCCACGTCCATCTCCACCACCATGCCCCCTTCCTCCCCTTCCACCTCGTCCTCGTCCTCGTCCTCCTCAGCCTCGAAGCCCGGGTTATCGCGGCTCCACGCCTGCCTGGAACACGACGAGAGCGGAGGAGAAGGAGAAGCCGAGGCTCCGGCCGGGGGGTCCCGCGCGGCCGCCTGCCGGATGCGCTCCATCTCGATCTCCAGGCCCCTCTGCTCGCGGAGGCCGCCCGGGGCAGCGAGGCCGGCGGTCACGGCCGCGCCGCCCGCCGCCAGCCGCCCGGGGCCCTGCGCTCGCGGGGCCGGAGGCCGCTTGGCGTCCCCGGGCAGCTGCGGCTGCACGCGGCTCGAGTGGACCATGGCGGTCACTGGCGGCCGGCGCGCGGGTGCGCGGCGCGGCGCTCAGCGCTGCCCACCGCCGGAGCCATGTTCTTTTCTCCCCGGGCCCGCCGCCGCCTGCTCCCCGCCCCCGGCCTCCCCGCAGCCCGCGGCCCCCGCCCGTCCGCCCGCTTGCCCGCCCCCTCGGCCGCCTCCCCGCCCCTCGCCGCGCCCCGCGCGCTCGCCCCCGGTGCGCGTTCCAAGTGCAGCCGGAGCCCGGGCGGGCGCCCGCATTCCATTCGGCTGGAAAGTTCGGGAAGGGAGGGAGTCGCAGCCGACCCGCCCGCTCGTCCTGGCTGCCTTCGGGAGTTGTGGCCTGCACGACCTCGGCAGGATGCTTGCGTCCCTGTTAGCCGCCGGACACTTCTGCCTTGGTTTCCCCAAGTGCTGGAGGCGAGGAGCGAGAGAAACCCAGTTGAGGAACGGTGCAGACCGTCTTGGCCAAGTCAGCTAGGGGCTCATGTCTCCAGCCGGCTGCAAAAAGTCTTTTCCCTTTGCCAAGGTTGTGAGAACAACGGCAAACGCTGGCTTGCTTTGACAGGGGGCCTCTGTGCCCCGACTTGGTGTCGTTTTGGAGGTGATTTCTTCCATCTTTGTGAACTGTCTCCCTATATACCTTGGGGGGGATCTCGCCAATTTGTCCTGGGACTGTGGGATCCTTGGTGTCCCCTTCCTGCCCCTGTCACCCAGGGGCCAGTGGTGACCCCTGAGGGGCACAGATTGACCTCAGGCCCTTGGTCCAGAGCTTCCGTTCCACGAGATGCATCTGGCTCTACTACAGCGAAGTCCGAAGACCGTTTTTAACATCTTTGGAGAGTTACCTGTAAAGTTACTCATCTAAAGTTAGCTCTTTAGAGAGTACTGTCATGAACATCTGTTATTGGGGTTAGGACTTCATTAGGAACATTTCTGACAGGACAGTTTGGCTGTTAACAGCTCCTGATCTATGTTTCTAGCCTGGTCTCTCACACAGAGTATTTGCTGGAGCAATAGTTGCTTGATGGCGCCCTGTGTGTTGCTACTATCTGCTCCTGTTTATGGCCATTGGGCACCGTGTCGCGTGAACTTGCAACTGTATTACTTAGATGTGGGTGTCTGGAAAGGCAAGGCATGTGGGTCCAAAGCCAGGGTTCATGCTCTTTAGCAGCTCATCCAGAATATGCTTCCTGTGTGCTGCATGAGGAAGTAGGTGCCCGTGGCAAAGCCCTTCACCCCAAGCAGACTGATAAACAGGCAAGGGTTTTGCCCTGAGCATGGGCTGCAGTGGCGGCCATGCAATGGTCTGCAGACATGAAATGTTCTGAACTGCACCATGTCCATGGCGGGCCATCGAGAACCAGGCCCAAGGAGGGAGGACAGAGAAAGAACCCACGGATACTTCTGGAGGAAAGGTCTACTGCAATCTAAGTGTTTCTCTTTATTAAAAACGAAGCTGAGCGATTCTTTTTGAGCGCATACTCCCACCCTTAAAAGAACTCAGCTTGACAGAAAATGTGTTTACATATATGTAATTCAGAGTTGGTTGTGCGTTTACCTGAAATGTTGTTTACAAATCATCACAAGAAATAAGTCTGGAAAATGCCCTGCCAGGTTTTGTAATGTTACCTGCACAGTGTTTGATCCATTGCCTCTTAAACCTTACATTCTAGAAGCTTTACTCTATTGATGTCAGGGTGAAGGCTTCCCCATGCCAACACAAGCTTTCTAATGTGCTTCCTACTTGCATAGCCATGCAGCCTGTCTGGTTTCCCAGTGTTCCGTTTTCTGTTTGATTCTGAACTTGCTTTTCCCCCTCAGAGAGCCTCTTCTGTGCTCCAGCATGCCCGAGGCTGTAACTTCTCTCCCTTCCCACACAATTCCTTCTTTTAATACCCATCTCAAAGCCGTGACTCTCCCAAGATTTTCTTTATTACAGAAAGTTGATTCATCTGCTTGCCACCTCCTATTTCTTTTAAATTATTGACTTATTTTTAATCGGGGTAAAGACAGAGGGAAGTCCATCTCCCATCCTCTGGCTCACTCTCCAGTAGCCCACCACAGCCAGGGGTGGGCTAAGCTGAACCCAGGAGCCAGGAATTCAACCCAGGCCTCCCAGGTGGTGGGCAGGACCTAGGTGGGAGACTTCTCATTGCTGCTTCCAGGGGTGGACAGGAAGCTGGAATTGGGAGTTGAGCCAAGACTCAAACCCAAGCACTCCAGTGTGGGAGTAGGCCTCCTAAGTGCCATTGCAACAGGTATGGCCAATTGCCTGAGTCTCAGATGACAAATGACAAATTTCAAGAATGTATAGTGTATTTAATAATGAGTAGCCTTGATCGTCCTGTCTAGACACTGGTTTCATTGGATCTGTGTGGTAGTCTTTTCTAGGGACATGTTGTAGAGATGCTACGTTTTAATCTTAGTGCCATGGTAGCCACTCAAGGAAGCCATTTTAAAAGGCAACCTTTAAAAAGAGTTGTTTTTATTATGCAGTAGTCTCCACATCTCTAGCTTTGCAATTATTAGGTTTGTCTGCATGTTTGGTTTTTATTTTCCAGTGTGAACTGATGGAGCAGGCACAAACTGATGGATCCCTTGGTCTCGCAGTCTCCACCTTCAAAAGGAAATCCAAAAGAAGTTTCTGGCTGTGTGGCGTTGCTTAGCAATTCACCCAAACAAACATGTTTCCCCCTCATTTTTTTTCCCCTGGCCTTATTTATTCAAGAACACTGCAAAATACATTTTTTTAACCACTTGACATCTGAAATCATTAGAAGAAAATTTGGTGTTTAGGGCTTGGTAAGAACTTCTAAGCCCTGCAAAACTTTTACTTTATTTGAATTTGCATTTTGCTGCTTTTGACTAAAGCAAGACTTCTTCCTGTCTGGATTTTGGTTTGGATTGGCCTGCATGTGTTCCCATCTCTGCAAGAGTTGTGTTGGCACGAACTCTGGCTGGTGGCGCAATCCTGTGGAACTAAGCTCACGGTCTCAGTTTCCCTTTCTGAATCACGAAGCTAGCCTTCCGAATGCCCCGTGGGATTGTCGTGGAAGCTCAGGGAGGGAGTATTGATGAGTTCATGGAACGTGTGTTCAATATCCACTCAGCACCGGTACCATCCTGGCTTCTGTGGAAGCCAAGAAAAGATGCGGGTCTCAGTTCGCTTTATGCGGCTTGAATGTAGCACAGGAACACAGTGTGGGTCAGGTATCACGGGTCCACAGTCCTAGAGGTGCTAGGTCAAGGCACCATCGGGTGAAGCTCTGACTGGCAGAGACCTGAGGTTGTGGGGGTACAGCCCATGGCAAAAAAAAAAAAGTTGCATCCTTTAAAGGTATCTTATGGTCATGTTCTTCATACACCTACCAAAGATCCCACCTCTACACATCACAGTCAAATTGTTTCTACCCTCTCAAGCCTCACAATGTATATCTGACTCCAGCATAGAGGTGGGGGGCACAAGCTACATGGAAGCCACACACATGACCCCCACCTACCAGGGGGATTAAGTCGTCGAACTAGACCCCTGGAAATATCCTCGCGTGTTTCCCACTTTCGACTTCACAGCACGTAGACTTGACAGTGCTTCAGTAACCGATTCTTCTGGGCGCTCATAGCCGCAGTTGCAGAACCCAGCGTGACCCTACTTGCCCTCCTACAACCTGTCTCCCAACATTCGCCATCTGACACTGAGGGTTTTTGTGTAGTTGTCTTGCACCCTCTCTGGCAGCCATCACCTCCTCCGGTTCAATATGGCACTGCCACCAGTTCCCGCGTGCAGAGCATCAGGCTTGGTCAGTTAGCGCACTGGGTCCTCTTGGCCCTTCTGGCAGGTGTTTCACAGCGAGTGAGTATGTGGTTCTGCTTGATGAAAATTAGGCTAGTATTTTCCCTCAGTCACTGGAAGAAGAAAGGCTGTTTTTCCCAGAAGATTTGGAGTTGTAAGGATGTAAGTCCAGAGAAGCTGGCAGTCAAGATGTTAGCACTTCAGAGGGAAAGTGGAGCTGATAATGTATGTGTGAGAAAGAAGATACACATAACATGGAAGAATGGAAGACTATGAGAACTGAACGAATGTTTGGGTGACCATGCTATTCATGAACATTATGAAATGCATTTTTTTTATCATGAAACACCTCAGTTTTATCAGATGTAGAAATGATCTTTATCATCTATTTCTTTCTCCAAGTTGAAAGGAATGTTGAACAAAGGCTAACAACAGAGCACTTTGAAATACAACGTGAGATTGTTTCCCTCACAACTCAAGTTTATTCACTAATACCCTTGGGGTGTAATTATTTTGAGACAGTTTAAATTCATCGCTACTTACATTAGCACAGATTTCTCCAAAAGCTGAGTGGAACTTTCCCTAGTGCCTTTTGATGCTACGTCTCTCGGACTGCACAGTGCTCCTGCCCTCTAGCACAGTCCCAGGTACGATTAGGGTACGCCAGAAGTTGTTCTCTGCAAGACACTTGTGGTTAGCTTGCTAACCAAAGACAAATCATCTTGGCAATAAGAAGTTTGTGACATTCCTTTGGGAAGGTTTTTCTGTTTGATATGAAAATGCAGGATGCATTTTAAGTACAGATTCTATAGTCTAACTTTGAGGGGTTCTGACTCATCAGAACTTAGGTCCTAGGAATCTGTATTTTAAGAGAGCATGGCAAAGACATGGAGAAAGAGCCTATTTTGGTGACATCATTTGAGTCCCTCAGTAATGAATGAAATGATGTCCGTCTCCTTGTGAGTCAAAACATTTCCTCTTACGTTAATTTATTTAAGTGTTTCTCTTATTTGCAGCTGGAATCGCACCAAGAGATTTGTTACAGACCAGTAGGTCTCGTGCTGGCTTTATGCACAGAGGACATTACTGAGCCCTTGTCTGAGTAAGAATTAGGAAGTTAGGGACCTTGAGAAGCATCAGCTCTGCTTTCTGTCCTCAACATCATTTAATCACAACATCGAATCCTTCACTGAAGACGATGTCTCAAAGGCCCTTCTGAAAGTACCTTTACATCCACTTACTAGTATTCATTGGAAGCTTGTAATTTTGGTAAAGTTCAACTTACGCATTTTTTCCCTCT